CTCTTTCGTTCTCTTGCGTGTCCCCCTTCCTCTCGGTTTCGACCGAACTAACAGACTTCTCGTTTGAAGTCTTCTATCTCCTCCATGTGTAGGTCCAACCATGTGCTCAGGGCCATCTCCTTTTCCCGCACACTTCTTTACCTACTTCGTTGATCATTTGTATCATAATCTCCCCCGACGTCGCTTCCGCCTCTTGTCTTCTCTTCACCAACTTTTGCCCGAGCTGCTGCCTCCTATTTCCATTTCTCAGGACTTCCCAGTTCTCGTTTCTCTGAACCTTTGTTGTTGTTCGTCGTTTAGGCTCATTCAGTTGCCAGCACTCCGTGTACTTTGACTTGACTGTATTCACTAATCTGCTTCTCTCTACCTTTCTAACTATGAAACCGTCTTTTTCGTGCAACGTTGCTCTTGCTGGTCTTTTCCAGGTTAACTCCGGCAGGAGTTAACACAAGCAAATCTTGCTTGTGACACCTTTCTGTCAGATCTCTGCCTGCCCCATTTGCCTCCACCAGCCCAAAAGGGCCCACATCATCCTAATCTCTTTCCGGAACATCCCCTAGCCTGTAGTACAAGGAGGTTGAAACACCCTCCTGATATCATTTTCATTTTCGTGTTGCATCTCGTATTCATTTTCGTGTTGCAATCAGCCGATAGTTACTCGCCTCAACGGCGGTGTCTCTGTCTACGCAATCTCTTTCGCTACTTTGGTACCTCCCTTTGATAGCCTAAGTATCTTTCAGTGCTATACCGCTTTTTTCCATGGATCAGTACCCCAAACATATCTTTCGCCTTGATTCATTTAATTCCTACTTCTTTCTCTCGCCATGCCCTTTCCTTCCCATTTTTCCACTCTTATCTTTTGTCTGCTTTCCCTTGTGTCCTCCTCGTGTCCTTTCACCTTTCTTCAATTTTTTGTCTCGTCCTATTTCTACGCTACACAAATAGCACGTCCGCAAATGTAATCACCTGAGTAGTTCTTCACGTTCTCCAGATTCCTACATTTCTTGTGCACCCATCCCCCAAATGGCAATAAACGCTGATTTGTCTGTTGCAGTTTATCTTCTCTGGACGACTTTTTTGGCCCGGGGATGAGTTCAACATCGCCTGCCTTCACAATCAGCTGGGCCCACAAGGCCGGCAAACCTGCCAAAAGCCCGCCTCGAGATCTTCCTCCGAGAAATTTTATAGCCTTTGAATTACTAGCAAACACTAACAAGAACACAAAAAGCAGCTCTATAAAGTGCAATACGAAAAAGTAGAAATAAGCCTCGAATTAGTGAAACTTTAGCTACGTGTCGGATTCAAACCTGGAAACCTCAAGATTTGGAATCTCAAGTCCTTTAAACTCAGCCACGGTCAACTAACGATCGGCGAACACTAGAATAAAACAAAGCAGAGAACAGATGCTATGAAAACTCCAATCCTACAGATTGTGATTATAGCAAAAGTTCCACAAAAAGATTACTTTTATTTGCGAGCTAGATTTGAAAAATCAAGATTCATACTAATAATCTACGCTCGCTAGTGTATTAAAAATGGCACAGAGGCGAAGCTGTGCTTCGCAAACACTAGCCAGAACACGACAAAAAGCAGCTCTATAAAGTGCAATACAAAAAAGTAGAAATAAGCCTCGAATTAGTACAAATTAGACTACGTCTCGGATTCGATCTGCGACCTAGAGAATAAGAGTCTCACGCACTAACCACGGACGCTAATTAAATAGCTAACACTAGCCACAAATAAAGCAGAGAACAGATGCTATGAAATTACCAATGCTACAGAGCGTGATTATAGCAAAAAGCCACCAAATAAGTGAAAACTTTTAATGAACATATTTATTTGCGAGTTAGGTTAGAAAAAAAGAAGGTTCGTACAAATACACTACACTGCTCGCGAGTGTACATACAACAAAATCAGCATGACAAACTATCAGACAGAAATTTGGGACAAAAGCAAAAAAAACGTGTTCATGAAAAAACTTTCAGAACAATTAAATTAACCCCTAAAAAGACCAACAAGCAAAAGAAACTTGCTTCGTTCATACCCGGAAAAAATTCAAGTCGAGTTATATAAATCAAAAAATCCAAATAAAAACGAAATATACCAAAGCCGAAAACTAATATTGAATAGAACGGGTATTTCAAAAGCTAATATGTACAATATAAGTCTGCTAATTGACAAAAGTGCAGATTTGATTCAAAGGTGAGAAAATTACCAGTTATTTACAAAACTGAGACAAATATACAAAATGATGATCGCGAGCAAAATCATACATATTAGTTCAGTGTAAATCAATGAAAGAAGCAAAAAAAATCATTCAGAATGTTTTATTAAAAGTTAAAAAACTAAATTAAAATTCAGCTAAAAATCTGGTAACTGAACTACCGCCACCATAGGGATTGGAAAGAAGCATTCAAAAATTTAGACAGAAGCGAAACCTTCAAAAGTGTCTGTGCTACGGAAATAAAGCCGACAAAAACAAACAGAAGTACAATATTCCGAAGATGTAGAAAACTTCTAGCTTAAAAAAGATCTCGGCCGGATTCGAACAATAAACCGTTGTCGTCTCAAGCAGGTGTGTTGCGATAACGCCAGATGCGCTGGTTGGTTGACTGATTTTGAATTCAATACAAAGCAAAATGAAACATCTGCGAAACCTTGTGAACAAAGTTGTTTACAGGAAATACACGGTGGAACACCCTTGCTTATAGCAGGAGTAAATTTGTCTCTTAGCTGTTTTTTATACTTCAGAAATTTTATTATATCTGCTGAATTTCCCGTTGTATTTTATTTCAGAGTCCGTTTTATAATTTGAAACTACTCGCTCTTTCAACTGATGACTATCTCAGATGTCGGTAGTTTTCCAAAAACTATAAAAATTCAAAAATTAGACTTTTCCTAAATCCATGAAATTATCTCTGATAAAGCATGAGAATAGTCTTTTATGCAAAGAAGACATCCACGCCCTGATTTGTGGATTGAAATTTTGATATAAGATTTAGCTTGTAGTTTTCGAGAATAGTGATGAATTTTCTAAAAAAAAAAATACGGTAAAAATTTCAAAAAATGGATTTTTCCGAAGTTTATATCAGCTTTTTACCAATGACTAGGCAGATTGTGCAAGGAAAATCTAAGCACCAGGTTAGTTTGAACGAACTATCAACCTCAGAATCAACAGGTTAGCGTTTGAAAAAAGTTTCCAAAAAAATGGGCAAAAATTCAAAATCGGACATTATCTAAATCCATATTGTTTTTTTTCAAAATGCAGAGCATTGGCGCTTGCACAGGAAAGAATCCCATAAATGATAGTTTTGTTTCGATTAAACCCTTAATCTCCGATTTTGCAAGGTATTGCGAAGTCAAAAGATTTTAAAAATTAAAAAAATAACAAAAAAAAACAAAAGGCGCTTGTTATAGGCCATGTTTTTTCTACCAAATTTAGGTAATAGCTGCTTGAAAAAGGCACATCTCCATAATTTGTTCTTTTGATTGAAATCCTCATCTCAGATTTATGTATGTAGTATATTTGAGACTATGTAAAAATTCAAATCATGTCAAAAATCCCTCTACTGAAAATTTCAAAGGCCGTAGAACGTGCGGTAAAATGAAAACAGCGAAAAATGCAGGCACATAGAGAAGCAAATTTCTGCGAAAATGTTCAAAAGAGTCGCAAAAAAAACAAAACAACAAAAAGCCATATACTTTCATAAAACTTGTTTTTTTTTCAAATAGGACCTAATACTAGCCAAAAATAAAACAGCAGCATGTGCTTGTAAATTGATTATGCTCAAATGAGGTGAAATATTATTAAAGTGGAATATACCAAAAAAGCAAATGAGCACTTTTATTTGCGATATAATTAGAAAAAAAACTTCATAATAACTTTATTTTGCTTGTGTAATTTAAATTCGAAACAAACATCACAAAAAAATTGCGACAAGTCGGATTGTGCCGGCTAAATGGCTGTTTTCCAACCCAATCCAGGACTAACTGAGGGGGATAGGGGATGTCATTCATTTCACCGTAGCCGATCCCAGATTGAGGCCGATGACACAGGGACCAATCCAACCGTAACCTAGTGGGATCCAAACACACGACCCTCATGTTGAGAGACTCATGCCGTACCCTCTGCTGCAGGGTCTTCATTATTATCAGTTGAGAAAATGTTATTTTTTAAACAGCCAACTGACAGTTAGAAAAGAGTCAAAAACGCAAGGGAACAGAAAACATATTGATTTGTACTTTGAAAAAATTTCAATGCTCGAATTTTAAAAAAGTATATATGGCCTTAAAGCTCTTTGAATTTCAGAAACAGTTTACAATTGACATTTTTTTGATAAAAATTAACCCAATTTGAGAAAACTGGATCATTAGGTAAAAAAAGTTTGCTGATCGATAGTTAAGTTTGCATTTTTAACGAAGGAAATGAAGAGAACTTAAAAAAAATCTAAGTCAAACCGAGAAAAATGAATTTTTAGCGTGAACAAATTTTAGACCTTTTTCCTGAAAACAAATCACCAAGACCTATATAAGAGTATTCACCACGTTCATAACTCTTGCACCTTGAAAACTTGCAAATTATGTTTATATTGAATTATGAGTATCTTGAAGATCTTGACAAGATACACAAATGCCTAGTCATAAAAATTGGTTATCGAATACGGAACCGTTAAAACGTCATATTATCAATTTTTCCTACGCATTAAAAGACGTTTTGCTGTTTAGTTCATTTCAAAAATAATATTTACTTCTACTTATGACGAAAACAGTAGAATTCAGATATGATTTAGACAGCGCCTGATTTGAAATGTCAAAAATGAATGGGAAATGGGATAACATTTTTTCGAAATTATCTGTTATGCGATTGAAAAAACCGAAATCACAAAACACAATCGCTGACGCATGTTTTTGTAATTTCAATTCAGTTTTGAAATTGATCAGTCAAATTGCTTTTCCTAAGGGACGCGGCACTCATGTAAATCCTAAGCCAAATAGTTCGCTGGAAACGGAGACACTGAATTTTATTAAGCAACCGCAGAAATATTAGTATTCAACTAAATATGTACATCTAATGTAAAAACATTTGCTAGCTGTCGGCAATAAGGCTGCGTTTTGAACGGTAGAAGCAAACGTTTAAAAACATCGATATTAATGATCTAGTACACATAATACCACCAAGTTATGAAAATAGATGTTGAATATTTGAACACTAGGGTCAAAATAGAGAAATTTAGATTAGATTAAACTAGCTTCATTGTTTACCTGTAGCATAATGTAACATCGAATGGGAATATGACTACTGACATCCACATCACATTATCATCAATTAGATCTAAAAGCGACTGAAACTTTACTATTTACTAAAATTTCAGCAACTGAAACGCTAGTGTTATTGTTATTATTCGAAGAGTCCACCATAAACAAGTCCATGAAATGAACATTCACTGGTTTGTTAGCCAATCTTCCCACGTGAACAATCTTCGCCTCCAATTCTACGTTTTCCACCATGGAGGCGAATAATCTGGTGGCACGTGCGTCCCACGAAAGTCCCCCCACTGGTTTGATGTTGTTCAGACATCCCTTGTAAAATAGCCCAGGTATGTTTCTCAAGTCGCGGGGACATGGATACACGCAATCGGTTGTTATGATACATTTCTCTCCCGTTTCAAGCAAAATCACTTCTAACATCGTACTTTTATCCGAACTATTCAGAGCTTGATTGTTTACATTGTTGTTTCTACTTCTGTTTCCAACGGTATTACTTGTACCTCCAGTCGCCGCAACATTAGCTATTACCTTCAGCACATGCGCTCTGCTAAGAATTTTATCCGTGTGAACAATAACAGTATGACCCGCTTTTAACGTCTGGTTAATGAACGTTTCTCGATTACTAGCTGCAATTTGGTGCTGACCCTTGTTTATAACCTGTTTCAACTGGTTTACAGATATTTTAATCACTTTCTGAAAGTATTCGTCTGTGGTTTGAAATATGAAGCTAGAAGGCGTTATCACCGAGACTACTTTAATCATTATTGAGGAGCCTTTCTCTATCTCTGGCAATTGAAAGTCGTGGTTAAGGTTTAGTTGGTCCAAGTCTTGACTGATACCGCCAATTCCTCCGGTATCGCCGGAAGCACTTTCAGAGTCGATACCACTCACTCCCAGTCCATGGTTACTATTGTTCTCTAACGTCGAGATATTCACTGGATCAATGACGTTGAACAACTCGTTGTAAGGCCTGTCGTTATAGAAAGCATTCACCAATATCGTCCGCCTGGGGCCGTTAATACATCTCACTTCCGCTTTCAGAGTAATCGGTTGGGTTAAAACGGGGGGCGCAGTATTACAAGGACAGCCTCGTAACTCAAACGGCATGCAAAGGGGGCAAATCTTCATCGCTTCGTCTTTGATTTTGTAACACTTTCCCAAATCTACATGGTCTATGTTGCCCCAATCGAGGAAAAACAGTCTCGCCTTTCGGGTGTCACGTGATATGATATAAGCCCTGCAGGGACTGTTGTCCAATAAAGCAAAGCAGAACGTATCGCTTAATGAGATCGGATTTCTAGGCGCACTGCTTAATCGTTGAACAATCGCCATCATTTTCGACTTGTTGTCTTCCGTTTTAATTAACCCGAAGAGAAAATTAGCGTCCGGTTGATGCATCACAACAATTTCATAGGTCCCCCCTCTTGGGTAAAATTTGGTGTCGATTTTATAAGTCACGTGCATCGTAATAAGCATTCGGTTAAACATTTCCATCAATTGTTTCGTTTCTTCCGACAGCATTTTGTCCTGGTAGTCGTTGTAGTTGCGAGCATTCGTGTGATTTGTCGAGTTCGAGTTGCTGTTCATCGCCATTTGCTGGTTGTTTGAAGACCCGCTGCCATGAGTCGACTTCACATTTGATTCATTATTTGACTTCATTGTTACGAGTTATTCATCTAACGACTGAAAACATGTACTATATAGTCTTTAGTTATTCCAACTTCACAACTAGCAAACTGGATTCCAAGTTTTTGTAGGTGAAATTGTGGAGCGTTTTGACGGATTGAACACGTGGATTTTTCCAATAGGATAGTTTTACCGCTTTAAGTTTTTCTAAATTCGCGCAAGAGATTTAACATTGAACTACTTAAGACTGAATATCACCTGCGTTTTTGATAATCCATTTAAAAACTCAACCGGCAAGAAATGTCCTCTCAGTTTAAATAATTCATGGATAATTTCTTATCAAAATGCACGTAGATATAATAATTAATTCTCCATCAATCAAAGATACTTTTTACTGCTATACAGAATTTACAACATCGAAGAAAAAATCTGTGAGATAATATATTACATAATTTGAGAGCACCTTTTTTGATGTATTGACACGAACGAAGCAAAGCTAAGAGGACAAGAACATCCAAGTACAAACAAACTTACCAAATGGGTTGATTTAAACTCGAAAAATAAATAAACTGTCTGTTAAATAAGTTGTTATCTTAACAACGAAGAACAATAAACGATTTCACGATGACAACAAAAACAGAAACTGCAAAAAAATTTTAAAACAAAATCAGAGAGGCGAAAAGTAAGATAGTTTTTCATTAAATATATTCAACTACGCATAGCCGAGAATTGTACACGCATTTTTTGGTGATTCGATATATATTATATAATTTATATCGTTCACAAATATTTGTTTTGCTTACTATTCACCAAACATGGTACACTACAAGTGCTAGACTGACTACCACTGTAATAGTCGCTTTTAATTTGAATTACAGTCTGCAGTTGGTCTAGTCTCGTTTCAGCTTGCACGTGTTCGGAGGTACTCGGCTTGAACTGCTTCGAAGCACACTTTGAGGTCTTGCAGACAGGCCACTGAGAAGGCCTTGATCTTCAGCATCTCCTCGTACTTGCTCAATTCTCCCCCTCCCCCTCCTTTCTTATGAGAGGGGGCCTCTGAATTGAGGCTCTGGTTTGGATTCTGCTGGGTCTGTTCTTTCTCCTGGTAACAAATATTAGAGTAAAACTTACCAGAGGGACAACTTGAACCTAATGAACGTGAATTGTTTTGTTTTTATGATAGCGAATAGCGTCCCTTATGATGTTCCTTGTTGTAGCACGAAGAGCTGTTTTTGTTAGTTAGAAACTAGTAAGTTCAAACAGCCGCATATCGTACCAATGATAGCCGGTTACTGTGCAACTAGCACAGAATGTTCCGACCAGTCTTAAAAAACTACAACTAAATTATTTTTCCGCTTGGTGTGATAAAGAAATCTGAGCGAAAAAGAAGAGCTTAGGCATTTCGTCAGTCATGTAAAACATGCAAATTGAAAAACAGTTTTTGAGGACAAATAACAAGAAAAACAAAAAAAAATCAAATTTTTTGTTATTAATTTTTCAAAATTTTGGAAGTTTTTGATTCCTAAGTTGAAGCTAAAAACTCCAAAAACTTACTTCAATAGAGTAAAATTAAATTTTCAAGGCTTAAATTAAGCATAAATAAGCTAACGTAAGCCTTCTCACTATCTTGAAATTGGACGAAAAAACAAAAATTTCAAATGAGTTTTTCTCGACACGGGAAAAACTTTTTTGAAATATTTTTGTCGTTCAAATCACGACTGAAAGGGTTTTTTTAAGATATATCACTGAACACAGTCCGATGATTATTTGCATTAGCTGATTTTGCGTGGAAAACAAAAAAAAGACTGCTCGCTCGCTTTAATCGCTCGAATTAAGACAAAAATTCAAAAAATTCAAACCGGTTTTTCTCGACTATGGGAAAACTTTTTGGAAATCTTTAAATAGTGGTTCGAATCACGACTGAAAGGGCTTTAATATGATATATCACTAAACCCAGTCCGATCATTATTTGTGGTACCTGATTTTGCGTGAAAACAAAAACTAAAACACACCCGAATACAAAGTTCCTCCCCATTTTCAATGGTCGGAACAACAAGGACAACCGGTTATTGTGCAGGAAGCACAGAATGTTCCGACTATAGTCTTAAAAAATTATAACTCATTTTCGTCAGTCAAAGTAAAATGTGCACATTCGAAAACAATTTTGAGGAAAATTGACAAGAAAAACAAAAATTTTCATATTTTTTTAAAAATTATTTCCCAAACTTTCAAATTTTTGATTCCTAAGATGGCGCTAAAAACTCCAAAAACTAACTCTATCTGAGTAAAACTATTATTTCAAGGCTTAAATTAAGCATAAATAAGCTAATGTAAGCCTGCTCACTCGCTCGAAATTAGACGAAAAATCAAAAATTTCAAACGTTTTTTCTCGACACTGGGAAAACTTAAAAAAAATTTAAAGTCGTTCGAGTCACAACTGAAAAAGCTGTAATATGATGTATCACTCAACTCAGTCCAATGATTGCTTGTGGTACCTGATTTTGCGTGGAGAACAAAGAAAAAAAACTAAAACAGACGAAAACAAAGTTCCTTCCCATTTTCCATGTTCGAAACAAAAATATACCAAGGGGGGATCCTCTGGAAAAATTAGGCAACCAACCCCCAAAGACAACTAATGCAAGTTAGAAACGGTTTTAGAATTCATGAGTAGCGGCGATGAACTGTTTAAAGTGGACGAAAACAACCCATGGTAGCTGCCTGTAGATTAAGCAGCAATTCGCACCCCCCCCCCTCCCCGGCAGGCTACTGGTAGCATCTGACATGCCGAGGAAAGTTTGGCCTCAATCAAGGATTAAACGAGAATTTTTGTCTAAAAATGAACCAACGTTTTCTCACCCCTTAAATAAACGTCAATATATGATGTCAGTCAGCGTCCAAAAGCTAGATTTTTGGGTTGAAAACGAATGCTCTCCGCCAAACTATCTTTGATCTTTCTTTAAATAGTTTGATGGGGAGATTGTTCGTATGGCTTAGAAAATATATGATCAATAATGGCATCCTAAATATTTTGTTCTCAACACAAAAATTCTACGAGGATTAATATGAATTTATAATAGAGTGATCTTGATTCATTTGATACATATCAATGGACTCCAGCAGGTAACAAGTCAGGGGAGGGTCCTGGAGATTCACAAAGTATTCATCCAAGTTGATGTTATTAAGGGAGGGGGTTACCTATGTTGACCTGGCGGTCCTGACTACGACTTACAGCTCTAGAAGGGGCGATGACCTTGACAGGGTAGCTGGCGATGATCTCACTCATCTCGTTCAGGGCTGTCTCTGCTGCCGCTATTGCCTCTCTCGTGTTCACCATCTCTTGTGTGGGGGGCAGGAATGTGCTCTTAGACGCCTCTTGCACTTTCTTCTTCCTGGTATCACATTTAAACATACTCAATTTGAAGCCATTGAAGATAAAATAAACGTGACACAAAACTTTCGAGCGATGCCGAAAAAATGGAGTTGCATCCTAACATTTATAACTAAAAGTCAAGGCAAAGAAATATCGGCCCGGACCATTGAACTATAATATCCCACTGTCAATATAAAAATAGAACATTTTGTTTTACAATTTCACAATAAAACCGTAGCTAAACTGATATCAGTAATATCACCTGAAATGATATTTATTGAACACAATAATTTCAAATTTACAATGTTAAAAGAAGAAACTTCAAACCAAAATTCGACGCTACGAAATACCAACAATAAAATCAAAACGGCTTTTTTCCAACCTCTCCCTACAATTTGAACTTTCTGCATTCGAAGACATTTTAGGTAAATTATGGCTAAATTGGCGATATTACGATATGCTATGAAACAAAAATATGTTAAGGATGGTTTATTTCTGTCACGATACTAAACTGCTCTATGTAACACAGAAAGCGTATAATTAACTTTCGTTGCAATTTTCGAAGAAAATGACGGAGTCTATATACGCCTTGATTGGAGCAGTCGCTATGATGCTTGAAGTAAACTAATTTTTGTTCCGACTTTCGAAGAAAACTGAATATTTATACTTGAGGTCGATTTTTTATTCAGTCAATTTTCGGTGATCGAAGTAATAGTTTTCGACTATCTTTTTTATACCCCATTGAAGATAATGACTCCCCAAAATTAAACATAAAAAGATACTTTACCTCCGAACATTTCTAGCAAAGTTCTGGGAGTTTGAAAATTGGCAATTTGGCCATGCTCTGGACTAATTTAAGCGTGTTTTGAATATTTTATTCATAATGTTGAAAGCGTAACGCGAATTATTTATGCGTGGCGAATTATCCCGCACAACAAAGTCACTCCAAATTGAATTGAGGCTAGCTAGTCGGCCGTATTATATTCGTATGACTCAAATTTTGACACTTGATCTTTGATTGTCCAAAACTTATAGTTTTTCAATGATTTCTTTTCCCAAAAACTATTCCATATGGATTAAAGGGGCAGTCGAAACCTTCAGGGCTTTGCCCTGCTATACGAGCAATCTTGTTAAATATTGGATAGTGTTTTTAAAAGATGTTTTCTTTCTTTGTTAATCTTCCCCCAATATCCAATGCTTAGTAAAAACCGATTCTTTTTCTTCCGACTTTCGATACGAAAGTAACGGAATATTTGTGCTCAGGGTGGGTTTTTTTCTTCAGACAAATTTCGACTTTTAACTAGCCATTTTTGACGGAATTTTTTATATCATTCAAAAGGTATTGATAACCTGAGCTTAAATTTGAAAAGATAATTTAACTGTGATCATTTTTCGTAAAGTTATGGGCCAAAGATTGCCATTTTGGCCAATTTGGGACAATTAACGGGCGATATATTTCGCGCTATTAACGCGTAAGCGGATATTTAATCCGTCTTAGAAATCGTTCCAAATTGTTTAAATAAAGCTTATTTGCCATAATTGAATTGTTACATTGAGCGAAATCTATTCTTTTGTACTTTTACATGGCGTGTGGAGGGATGATTTCATAAAAAAAATTCAATTTTTAGAATTTTTTTGTTCATTTTATTTTATTTCATTTAATATGTTAATGATATTTATGTTTTTACTGCTTCATAAACCTTAAAATGCAGTCGGAACATTCAGGGATTCGCCCTGATACGAGCAGTCTTGTTTGTTTATATTTACAAACACATCGTGCCTCAAATCGATTTGGAATGTTTCTGCGCTGGATCAGTTTGCCGCATGTGTTGTTGCACCGCTAATATGCGGCGAACTGATCCCGCTCAGAAATTATTCCAAACTTATTTGAGGCACGATGTGTTAGTTAATAGAGTTAATACAAAAATATATACAAAAATATCACTGTATTTAACATTGGATGCTGGTAAAGATTAACCAAGAAAGAAAACAACTTTTAAAACAATATTCAATCTTTAAAAGTAAATTTACTTCAAGCACCATAAATGATTACTCGTATCGATATTTAGACAGGTGAATGATTCATTTACTGAAAGCTCTAGAACTCAACTTCAACAAAAAAAAAAACACTCGAATCAGGTTCAACCCTGATTTTTCCGACATACTATCAACCTAACAAATTTATTTAGGGCGAAAAAACAATCTTTACAAAAAAATTTTCTCCCAAAAGTTAGCAAAATAATTGCAGGTGAAAAATTTGTTATTAGATTGGAGCTCACAGCATCGACATGTTCAAAAAGATGTAAGAAAGCTCATCAAAACTATTACGATGAATTGTGCACAAAAACTGCACAAAAATAAGCGGAATTAGTTAGATAAATGGACTGACTGTATAAGACTAATCTCGAAAGATCGCTTGTTTCAAGAATTGAAATGATATAAAAAAAAGATCATACTTTTTGCCACTGAGTCCTCGTGATGGTTCCTTGTTGGGCAGCTTCACAGCCAGGGGGTCAATTGTGGCCTCGTTCAGTTTCTGCACTGCCGATCTGATAGCATCCACCCACTTCTGTCTGTCTTTGGCAGTGTCCGCCTTCAGTTGGAACACTTCACCACTGGCGCCGAACACATTGAACGACACACTGTCTTCTTCTCTGGGCGCCACCTGAATAACAGTAACATGAATTTATCAAATTTCAACAATCCCATCAGCCGTACAATTTCCCCCTATGGCGCATCGGTAGTGATGGTGCCCAGTAGTCATATGATTGCGGGTTCAAATCGCACGTTTGCTGCAATTTACAAGGAGGGCTCTTGGAAGATAGCCATAGCTTAGTTAAACTTAAATAATTACCCTTCGGGTAAGGCCTCTGGCTGGTTAATTAAAAAAAAGGGACCTACTGTATTTTATCTCCACCCAAGCTATGTAATAGTTCTGAAATTTGATTTCGTTTAAAGCATGCATTTCAAAGAAGCACGCAGAAAATATTACTTGATATGGAATAGCTACCATTGAAATTTCGAAAAAAAAATTATATTCGGCAGATTAAAGCGCTCATAGAACAGAATCCTCTTGAACACATTACGACCATGTAGCCAAATTTTTCTGATATCATCGATACCAGCCGATAACCATTATCATGAAGGAAATCAGTCTTAGGATATACCACAAACGATCCATCAAATAAAATTCTACTAACATCAGCATGATATAGTAATCATAAAATCATACCAGTCTTGAAACGCATCACGTTTGACATATAAAAAGAGTTCTAAGAGTTTAAACATGGTACAGTTTTCACGAATCATACCCCTTTTTAAACACAAGCTAAGCTAGTGAACAAAATTATTGGAGTAAGAATTGAAAAATATCGAGATTAAAAAAATAAAATTTTCAGCAAGGTATAGTAATTATGAATCATACCCGTCTTGAAACACATCAACTGACACAATGAAAGCCTTCAATTACAGGTAGTTATCAGACTAATTCATCTTGAAAGCAACCCCATGAAACACAACACGATCGACATATTCAACTTACCAAATAATGTTAATATCTAACGGGTTTGAAGTATTTATGTAATATACGCATTTTGAAACCCTATTTTAAAAAATTTCGAAAAACTGAGCAAAAAAATAACAGGTTCATCTTCTTTTGTACCATGTCTTGAAACATCAAAAACCAAGTACTGATCTCTCAAAACATTTGGATACTGACCGGATAGTGATCATGATTTATACACGTCTTTAAACAAATTATGCTCAGCCTATTCAATCAAATTCGAAAAAATATATATATTCAGCTGGTTCTAAAGTACAAACAGCATAACTCTCTTAATGATATAACCTCCTGTTAATTATATTAATGATGTGACACATTCGAAACAAACAATGACAACTAGTTTTCAGCATGTTAAAATGAACATGAATCATAGCATACTTTAACTCACAGCAGTATTAATATGGGAAAAATTACTTGATAACACTTTTTCAGGATTTAGTAGTAATCACGAATCATACTCTTCTTCAAACACATCACGGTTGGCAAAGGTAAAAAAAAATTCTTTAAACACTGTTAATCAGGATTTAGTAGTAATCACGAATCATACCCGCCTTGAAACACATCACGGTTGGCAATTGGAAAAAACTTCATTAAACACGGTTATTCAGGATTTAGTAGTAATCACGAATCATACCCGTCTTGAAACACATCACGGTTGGCATAGGAAAAAACTTCTTTAAACACTGTTAATCAGGATTTAGTAGTAATCACGAATCATACCCGTCTTGAAACACATCACGGTTGGCATAGGAAAAAACTTCTTTAAACACTGTTAATCAGGATTTAGTAGTAATCACGAATCATATTACTACTCACTCGAAACAAGAACACGAATCATACCCGCTTTGTAACACATCACGGTTGGCATAGGGAAAAAACTTCTTTAAGCACTGATTTTCAGGATTTAGTAGTAATCACGAATCATACCCGTCTTGAAACACATCACACTTGGCATAGGGAAAAAACTTCTTTAAACACTGTTATTCAGGATTAAGTAGTAATCACGAATCATACCCGTCTTGAAACACATCACGGTTGGCATAGGAAAAACTTCTTTAAACACTGTTAATCAGGATTTAGTAGTAATCACGAATAATACCCGTCTTCAAAAACGTCACGGTTGGCGTATGGAAAAAAACTTCTTTAAAAACTGTTATTCAGGGTTTAGAGATTATCACGAATAATATGAGTCTTGGAACACATCACGGTTGTCATCTGGAAACCAACTTCTTTGAAAACTGTTATTCAGGATTTAGTAGTAATCACGAATCATACCCGTCTGGAAACTTATCACGGTTGGCATATGGAAAAAACTTCATTTAACACGGTTATTCAGGATTTAGTAGTAATCACGAATCATACCCGTCTTGAAACACATCACGGTTGGCATATGGAAAAAACTTCTTTAAACATTGTTATTCAGGATTTAGTAGTAATCACGAATCATACCCGCTTTGAAACACATCACGGTTGGCATAGGGAAAAAACTTCTTTAAAGACTGTTAATCACGATTTAGTAGTAATCACGAATCATACCCGTCTTGAAACACATCACGGTTGGCATATGGAAAAAACTTCATTAAACACGGTTATTCAGGATTTAATAGTAATCATGAATCATACCCGTCTTGAAACACATCACGGTTGGCATATGGAAAAAACTTCTTTAAACACTGTTCCTCAGGATTTAGTAGTAATCACGAATCATACCCGTCTTGAAACACATCACAGTTGGCATAGGGAAAAAACTTCTTTAAACACTGTTAATCAAGATTTAGTAGTAATCACGAATCATACCCGTCTTGAAACACATCACGAGTGGCATATGGAAAGAATCTTCTTTTAACACTGTTCCTCGGGATTTAGTAGTAATCACGAATCATACCCGTCTTGAAACACATCACGGTTGGCATATGGAAAAAACTTCTTTAAACATTGTTATTCAGGATTTAGTAGTAATCACGAATCATACCCGCTTTGAAACACATCACGGTTGGCATATGGAAAAAACTTCTTTAAACACTGTTCCTCAGGATTTAGTAGTAATCACGAATCATACCCGTCTTGAAACACATCACAGTTGGCATAGGGAAAAAACTTCATTAAACACGGTTATTCAGGATTTAATAGTAATCACGAATCATACCCGACTTGAAACACATCACGAGTGGCATATGGAAAGAATCTTCTTTTAACACTGTTCCTCGGGATTTAGTAGTAATCACGAATCATACCCGTCTTGAAACACATCACGGTTGGCATATGGAAAAAACTTCTTTAAACATTGTTATTCAGGATTTAGTAGTAATCACGAATCATACCCGTTTTGAATCACATCACGGTTGGCATAGGGAAAAAACTTCTTTAAAGACTGTTAATCACGATTTAGTAGTAATCACGAATCATACCCGTCTTGAAACACATCACGGTTGGCATATGGAAAAAACTTCATTAAACACGGTTATTCAGGATTTAATAGTAATCATGAATCATACCCGTCTTGAAACACATCACGGTTGGCATATGGAAAAAACTTCTTTAAACACTGTTCCTCAGGATTTAGTAGTAATCACGAATCATACCCGTCTTGAAACACATCACAGTTGGCATAGGAAAAAAACTTCTTTAAACACTGTTAATCAAGATTTAGTAGTAATCACGAATCATACCCGTCTTGAAACACATCACGGTTGGCATATGAAAAAAACTTCATTAAACACGGTTATTCAGGATTTAATAGTAATCACGAATCATACCCGACTTGAAACACATCACGAGTGGCATATGGAAAGAATCTTCTTTTAACACTGTTCCTCGGGATTTAGTAGTAATCACGAATCATACCAGTCTTGAAACACGTCACGGTTGGCATATGGAAAAAAACTCCTCAACCCTATTATTCAGGGTTTAGTAGTAATCACGAATCATAACCGTCTTGAAACACATCACATTTGGCTAGGGAAAAAGTTTCTTTAAACACTGTTATTCAGGAATTAGTAGTAATCACGAATCATACCCGTCTTGAAACACATCACGGTTGGCTAGGGAAAAAGTTTCTTTAAACACTGTTATTCAGGAATTAGTAGTAATCACGAATCATACCCGTCTTGAAACACGTCACGGTTGGCATATGAAAAAAAAATCTTTTAACACTGTTCCTCGGGATTTAGTAGTAATCACGAATCATACCCGTCTTGAAACACATCACGGTTGGCATATGGAAAAAACTTCTTTAAACATTGTTATTCAGGATTTAGTAGTAATCACGAATCATACCCGCTTTGAAACACATCACGGTTGGCATATGGAAAAAACTTCTTTAAACACTGTTCCTCAGGATTTAGTAGTAATCACGAATCATACCCGTCTTGAAACACATCACAGTTGGCATAGGGAAAAAACTTCATTAAACACGGTTATTCAGGATTTAATAGTAATCACGAATCATACCCGACTTGAAACACATCACGAGTGGCATATGGAAAGAATCTTCTTTTAACACTGTTCCTCGGGATTTAGTAGTAATCACGAATCATACCCGTCTTGAAACACATCACGGTTGGCATATGGAAAAAACTTCTTTAAACATTGTTATTCAGGATTTAGTAGTAATCACGAATCATACCCGTTTTGAAACACATCACGGTTGGCATAGGGAAAAAACTTCTTTAAAGACTGTTAATCACGATTTAGTAGTAATCACGAATCATACCCGTCTTGAAACACATCACGGTTGGCATATGGAAAAAACTTCATTAAACACGGTTATTCAGGATTTAATAGTAATCATGAATCATACCCGTCTTGAAACACATCACGGTTGGCATATGGAAAAAACTTCTTTAAACACTGTTCCTCGGGATTTAGTAGTAATCACGAATCATACCCGTCTTGAAACACATCACGGTTGGCATATGGAAAAAACTTCTTTAAACATTGTTATTCAGGATTTAGTAGTAATCACGAATCATACCCGTTTTGAATCACATCACGGTTGGCATAGGGAAAAAACTTCTTTAAAGACTGTTAATCACGATTTAGTAGTAATCACGAATCATACCCGTCTTGAAACACATCACGGTTGGCATATGGAAAAAACTTCA